AACTCAACATTAAAAAAACTAAGATCATGGCATCTGGATCCATCAGTTCCTGGCAAATAGATGGGGTAGAAATGGAAGCAGTAACAGACTTTATTTATTTGACCTCCAAGATCACCGCAGATGGAGACTGCAGCCATGAAATCAAAAGACGCTTGTTCCTTGGGAGGAAAGCTATGGCAAACTTAGACAGCATATTAAAAAGCAGAGACATCACCTGCCGACAAAGTTCCACATAATCAAAGCTGGATATTATATGCTTCCTTAGTCAACAGAATGGTGTGTCCAAAATTACGGAGCCACTTAAGGCACGGAGATTATTTGGCAATTATATTAATGGGACATGAACAGAAACCCCATCCTGTCTTGGAAACCTAGGAGCATGAATCAATGCTCAGACTTTGGTATCTAATAAACAGAGTACCTGAAACTAGCAAGGACTCATAACAGATCTCTGCAACCCTACCACCCTTGAATTGTGGCTATTATTTTTAATGTTTTATCAGTTTCTGTGCTGCCTCAGTCACTAAAATAACTCCAGGCACCTTGGAGAGATTCAAGGCACCACCTTCAGCCAGCTAGAGATCTCTGTAATACATGCCAAATTGGCTGTTTCATTCAAGATCAATAAAAACGTTACTTTAGAAATTTTGTCTGAATCCCACAATTGCTGCTGATCCAAAGCACATATCAATATTACAAATTTTCGCCTGCACTAGACTAGAGGCAAAATGCTCTTTAGCCTCTTCCAGCCTGGGATTTCCAGCAACAAACACTTTGGCAGAATCCTTCCCTTATGCAGTTTGGCAGACCAAGTTAGGGATCTAGGAACTGAATAATTCTTTTTGTGCTGATGTTGTATGGCTGTTTATAAGTAAGCTTTATGGGCTGTGCCTGAGCCTGTTTGCAGAATATGTTAAAACTTAATGCACACTAACTTTATTCCCAACCCATATCAGATCCTTAATTACAGTTAGTGGGTTTTCCATGACTGTGCTTGTCATCTCAACCCAGTGGCTGCCATTTTCATTTAACATCAGCCATTAAGCATGGCTCCACATTTTGGTTAATAGGGATAAGAAGCCAGAACATGTTTTCAGGTTAACCGGACAAAGCAGCTGATTTGTTATGCAAACCCATCTCTTACCTGATGCGGGTAGAGGGTTCAGTGAACATTGCTGGATCTTGTTCATTTCAGAACATAACCTATGTTAAACAGAGGGTTTTTTTACAATTTTATATAGATAATAGTGGACAAAAGGAGGGGAATTATATAAAATTGCTATAACAGATTCAAGTCTCTTAGGCCAGGTACCTCTTATTTAGGTGATAAAAGCAGTAAGGCCAAGAAACAGTCTTTCCTATACTGTATATGAACCAAGTTCGAAGCAAATGCCTCTATTCTACACTAGCTTAACTCTTGGGGGGCTATGTTATGTGCTTTTAGAGAATCTAAGCATTGCTTTGTACTTGGTCAAGAATGCTAATTGAGCTTCAAACTCTCTAGTTGGCCATGTCTCAGCCTCTGTTCTTCATTTGTCATATGTGTTCTTTTGTTCTGAGGACAAACAAATGCAAACTTAAAATGCACAACAGATACCACTATGTCATATTGCCTCCTGATAGAAATAAAAATAGATATATAGGCCTTCTCATCAGAGCGAATGCACATCATATTTGATACAATGAACTAGACTTAGAAATGATTTCATTCTAGGCTGAGTGCAGGCAAATTTCCATCCTCAAAAGCAAATATGTAGTAGGACAGTGATCTCAATGATTTCTGTATAAAGAGGGCAGAAAGGGTTAGGGTTAAGGTTTGCCTCTGTTTCCCAGACAGTCTGAGTTAAACCCTTAAGAGACAAACATGCTGAACGATTTGAAGTATTTTCACGTCTTTCAAGATGGTGGCTATTTAGGTACTACATATAACCCATAGTTATACTACCACCTGTGCTTACTGAACTATTGAAAAGCAAGAAGTAAATAAGCTCCATCAGTAGCGATATAGCTGCTTCCTATTGTGCACCAATTTGAAGTCGCAACTGGACTTTGCACATGTGAGCCCTGATCATGCTAAATATATCTTTCCAGGGGTTGTGTAACCCAGATAGGTAAGACATGGTTGGCTGAGAACAGAGAAAAGGAATTCAGTATGCAAATGTCTTTCAATTATCAATTTAATGACCCCAGTGCCCCCCTTGTGGTCTTTTAAGCAATGAATGTAATGGCCTTATTGCTGTGACTGACATTAACCTTGGCAGTTGCTCAGCTGGATTAAACTGGCATTGCGCCAAGGAAGCCAATGAGGTAATTCTGATTTACATGCTGGCTGATGACATCAGCTGCACTGCTCGTTCCACTGGGTGGACATTTGTCTACTAAGAAAGAATAGTAAACACCTGGAGCATTTTACCCAGGACAGGTGCTGAGTTTAGGCACTCATCATTTGTCACAGCCTTGACAATCATCCAGACAGCTGAAAATAAGATACTTTATATGTGATCTCTCGAATAGCTCAGCATCACTATTCATTGTACAATCGATTTTTCTTAATGTTTTTTTCTTTTTTCCCTGAATTGGAAAACTACTTTTTCTTCTTTCTGACTGAAAATGAACTAGGCCATGAAGGAAGCAGTATAAAGAAGAAAACTAATGGAAGAAGAAGGCTCAAATAAAGGACAGTCACCAAACAGGAGTGGGGAAAAAACATTATGCATTCTTTAAAAGAAACATACATCAAATTAATGGACAATAAACTCCAGGAATAATAGAAGAGTGCTTTGCAGATGTTCGCTCTGTAATCGTTTGCTGCATTTATTCCTTTGACAAACATCCTTATTGTGACTGTTGTAACTAGCATTTCAAGAAAATGATCTGCCACACATACTCAGCCTGCTTCATCTGACAGCCGCCAAACTGCTTTTTGCAAAGTAGTTTAGCTCCAAATTAGCTCGCTACAGCATTAAATACCAGCTTGCCAGGAGATCTTTGAGATGAATACCATATATATCCATAATATTCTGGGATTTGAAGCATATGTGCCAGAAAGCTGAGATCACCTCCTTTCGAAAGTACAGTATATTACTCTGAGGTTCACGTTAGACTTGGAAATGGCAGTTTTAAAACCTTCCGGTGCTGCTGTTAGGCGCCTCTGATAAACTGTCACTACCATGAATTGAGAATGTTATGGGTAGTCAAGAATGAATCAGTTTAAGATGTGGATGTTCCAACTAAGCCACCAAACAGAAAATCATGTGTTCATAGAAATGGTGGCTGCTTTTTCCCCCTTAAAAAGCATTGCTATTTTTTGAAAAAGGTCAGCAAAACTGAGTTTGCCCCATGGCAATATGATACAAAAAGTGAAAACCCCTGCAGGTCCTCTTGTGACATTATGACCTTAGTCTTTAGCCTGACTGAGATGTAGTGGGAAACCTGCACTCAGTCTAATAATTTAATCCCATACTTCAGTCTTATAGCAACAGGGCAGCTTTTAGCTTTTCAAAATAATTATGTCTTTAGTCTTCCTCTATGTACAGCAAAATCTTAATTTAATGGACCATTGGGGGGAGGGTATCCATTAAACACAAATGTCTGTTAAATCTAAATTTACATGATTGGCTTTTTACATTATTTGTATCAGTTTGAATCATTTGTGCAATCTGTTGCATCTGAAGTCCATTAAATACAGGTTGCTAAATTGAGATATTTCACTGTAATATCTTACTGCATGGGAGGAAAGGGTAGATAAAGTAACTTGATTTGTTGAGTTTTTTAATATAATATTATTCTATCCCCAGTGGCCATATTTTATGCTTGATACACACACACACACACACACACACACACACACACGAGAGGGGACTCAAAAAAAACCCAGAATTTATTTATAAAAAATCATGTATTTATTTTTACAGACTTCAGTCACCTTCAAAGTACTCTCTGTTTGATGCAATACACCTATCAAGACATTTTTCCACTGCTCAAAACAGGTTTTGAACTCGTCGATTTTGATGCCTTTTAGCGCTTCTACCATTTTTTGTTTCACTTCCTCCACATCGGCAAAACATTTCCCTTTGAGGACTTTTTTCATCTGGGGAAACAAGACAAAGTCACACAGGGCGAGATCGGGTGAATAGAGAGGGTGGGGCACAAGGGTCATGCCATTTTTGGTCAAAAACCGCTGAACACTCAGTGCGGTGTGTGCAGGTGCATTGTCATGGTGGAAGAACCAGTCACCTGTTTGCCACAACTTGGGACATTTCTTCTGCAAATCATGACGCAACCTTCTCAAAACTACCAGATAAAAACTTCGGTTGACTGTTTCACCTGGAGGAACAAATTCCGAGTGCACAATCCCTCTCACATCAAAGAAACAGATGATCATGGTTTTCATGTTCGACTTCACTTGTGCTTTTTTGGGTCATGGGGATGTGGCAGTTTTCCATTGGCTGGATTGCTGTTTCATTTTGGGGTCATAGGCGTAGCACCAAGATTCATCTCTGGTTATGACTTTCAAAAAAAAATCAGGGTCAGCCTCCAACTGTTCCTTCAAAGCAAGGCACACAGTCAAACGATTGTCTCTTTGTTCAGGCATGAGCAAGCGAGGCACGGATGCCCATCATGAAATAGGCAAACACATTGAAAGAGTCTCTAAAAAAAACACTCACTGAAGCCGAACACAGCCTCTCACAACAACGCAGCTGGCACACTGATGCAGATGGGTTCCTGGAACACTCACCTAGTGGGGGAAGCCTGTACTACAAGGGGCCCACCCTCCAGAAGATAATTCTGTTTTTTGGGGGGTCCCCCCTCATATAGATGAGGTAGAGGTAGAGGTAGAGGTAGAGGTAGAGGTAGAGGTAGAGGTAGAGGTAGAGGTAGAGGTAGAGGTAGAGGTAGAGGTAGAGGTAGAGGTAGAGGTAGAGGTAGAGGTAGAGGTAGAGGTAGAGGTAGAGGTAGAGGTAGAGGTAGAGGTAGAGGTAGAGGTAGAGGTAGAGGTAGAGGTAGAGGTAGAGGTAGAGGTAGAGGTAGAGGTAGAGGTAGAGGTAGAGGTAGATATAGATATAGATATAGATATAGATTGTCTCTTACTTACTCTTTTCTTCCAATGTTTAAAATAATTGTCACTCTGCTACATGAAGTTCAGCAGAAGTTAATAATCCAAGTATGGATATAAATTGTTTTCAGGTAACACAAGAGTAGAGGTCCAAGATGGACAGGCTAGCTTTCAGAATTTGATTGTATCCAGCTCTTGCTCAGACTGCCGCCTCATTTTCAAAGTTACTTCTCCTCCAGGTAAGATGCTTCTCCAGTGAAATGTCCAATGGGAATCACATAATAAAGCTTTTCTGAAATTAAGTAGGCAATGGATAAGATCAAAGCCTTGATGTAAGCTGCTTTTGAGCTTCCTTAGGGATATCAAAACTGTTTATGTATTTGTATGTGTGTATACATATATACAGTATATATACACACAAAATAATAATCTCATTAGTAATTTTTTTTAAAGAAATTATAAAGACAAATAGATGTTTGTATTTCAGTTTACTAACATCAGATCCAAGGTGTACAATCATTCATTAATAATAGAAATGGTGATCAATCTGTAAAATTTGTAATTAAATGTGCAGGATTTGTGTATGTCTATCTGTATCTATCTGTCTTACAGCAAATGTGGGCTTTTTTGTCAATTTAGGTAGATTCAAAATTTCGCCTTCTAGTGTGAAACAAGGTGTACTGTAGCATGCATCTAGAGGGATTCCAAGACTTGGAAAAAGAGATGCACACATTATACACACCCAATGCAATGAGAGAATTTTCCCCATTTTCTTTGCTGTTTGTTATTTCTCCTGAATTCTGAGTTAACCCAGATAATTCTGTTTAGAAGAGGAACATCATTGGTCCCAGGTTTTAATTCCCTTAGTTCAAAGAAATAATTCTTCCATTCTTTTATCATAATGCGAAGGGCAAAAAGCTATGTTGCTGTAATTTTATCATATACATAGTGCTCTTACACATTGATAAAAATCAAACACAAGAGCACATGTAAATCAATAAAACTGCTTATGATAATTGTAGAGTAGCTTTTTTCGTAGAGTATTGGCATGTAGGTCACTGAGCTCTGGAAAATTCATAATGTACTGATTCTACTTTAGAAACAGGATTTGGAATTCTAAATTTGGGGTGAAGTGCAGAGGAAAATATGATGTAATGAGTGGCAGAAGTGGCAGAAACAAAAAAGGTTTCTATGTGTAGTATTGATTAATGAGTGACAGAGCAATTTATATCAGTTCAACATGTTGTCAAAACATTTGTCAAGAGACATAATTCATTTTACATACAAAATTCTTAGCGCGCCTATCATAGGAGATCATTCAGTTTTCCTACTGGCAAGAATCCTGCAATGGGAAGCTAAAGAGCAACATGCTTTTACCCTATCCATTGGCAAGCCACCTTGTTTCTCAGAAAATAATCATGTCAGGAAAAGACCAACTTTTCTCCCTTGAAGAAAGAAAGAAAAATTGTGGAGAATTTTGTGCCTACCAGAAAGATGGAATACTCCACTTGTAACTGTCAGCTGAAGCAGGAAGCAGGAATTGGCCCCATCAACAAGTCAATTAGCCAAAGGACCATAAAATGCTACCCATGGAACAATGCCAATAAGGAAAGATCAGCCCCATCTGAACCGTATAGATATGCCTGTATTTCCCATCCTTCTGCTTTCTTTTCAATAAATATTTTCTCTACTATCCATGTAGGAAGGAACAGGAAGGAAGGGAAGACATGACAGTTCCTTCCTCACTTCTTCCAAAGCTACGTAATAAAGCTCTAACTGTAAGAGCTACTATAAATATATTTAAGTGTCTTTTGAGTGAAGGCTCCAACCCTAGTAACTTCATAGACATCTCCATGAAATTTTCTTGGCAATGGAAATGGTTTCCTATTTCTTTCCCCTAGGTTTTTTTTTTTTTTTTTTGGATTTCCTAGTCTAGCCTACAGCCCTGGAATTCACTTGAGTATCCCATCAAAGTACTATCCTGTCCCATCCCTAATTAAAGTCCAAATAAATTATATTTGGAGTTCTCCAAATGGTAGTCAAAATTATCCTATAAAAGCAATAGATGCAAGGAATAAGCCAAGGGGCTGGTAACAATACTCTCAAGGTACTAATTAATTATTTGCACCAATATAAAGAAGTTGGACAGATTGTCTGTTTTTGAACTGCATTTTTATGAAACAGTATATCTTTACAGGTGCTTTCAGCTTCATTTGCTGATATTTCTAGTTAAAGGGATAACTGAGATTGAGACTGAGGCTGGAGAGGACTTTCCCCTGGGACTTTTAAATAAGTGTAAAGGCAGCTGTTGAGGGGATATAAAAATATTAGCATGTTGATATTTATTATTGATATTCATAGTGCCTTCAGTGTTTCATCATGCTTCTTTTAGTGTTACACAGCCTGAGACACAATTTCCTTCCTTGTGGTGATATCTGTATTGTTTAGGCTTAAATCCTATGTTCTTTGTTGTTTTAATTGTTTTACTCTGTATTTTTTATTTTTTCAGGTGCTGTCTTATCTGTTGAATCAGATTCTTTTACTGTTTCCCCCATTGCCGTGTCAGAAAAATCCGCCATCATCTTTACTGCTCTCCTGTGTTCAATAGCCTCCATGCTTGTTTTGGGATTTGTGGTTATTTGTTGGCTTAAGAAAAGCAAGAACAACAGTAAGTCACAAATTAGAATGACGATCATCTTCCCTTGATCTACTGTGGTTTACAGAAAAAGGGGCTTTGCAATTAGCAGTAGCTGGCGAAAGAATGTTGCAATCCCCAGTTACAAGAGAGGATATGGAAATGCTTTCTGCTGCAGTGCTCTAGCAATCCACATATGTTTGCTTGCCTTGGGCCTTCTGCACAAGTTTTTGAAGGAGCGTCTCTTAGGCCACCTTGCCTGTCATCCATGGCACCGTGTTCCCAATGAGTGAGATAAATGGGAACGGGAGGTTATTACGGAGGGGAAAAAATGGGCACTCCTCATTTGTAAGGCAAAGTTAACTACTTCATTCTTCTTGAACCAGCACACAAACTGGAATTAGATTTTTCAAAAAGTTGGCATGCAGCTATTTGAAAAAATGTATGTAAATGTTTGTATTAGAAGCAATAGATGCATAAAATGTATGTTGGCAAAAAGTAATGTACAAAAGCAGCTATTACGAAAAAAAAATTCCAAAACTATTTGCTGTAGAAAAAGCGTATATGAAATAGTGTATATTAGGAGCAGTGATTATGAAAAATGTGCTACGGTATCATTATTGCTGACTTTGAAAAACGACTATAAGGACAACATAAGGATGGAAAAATGAGAAACAGAGTAAACCTGAACTTTATCCAGATTCACCCATGCCACCTGTATAAGATATATTCTGCTTAAAATATGATGTAAATGATGTTTATTATTACATGTTGCCCTGCATTTCTTTTATATTTCTAACATCCCAATGGGGTAGAGTAAGATAGGGACTTTTCCGTGGTCTCCTAGCGAGTTTCATGGCTGAAAAAGAATTCAATAGCACTTGGTCAAAGCCTCTGTTAATATAGTCTGGGTGTTGGAAGTAGTACTGAACTCACTAAAACTTTCAAGCCATACAATAGAGTTGCATTTTTGCCAACCAGATATGTACTCAAGTGTTGCAAGTGACATTCATGTGTATAGTTCTGAAAATTTGCAGTTCAATTCAAATTAAAGGAGTCTCAATATTTCAGACAGTTGAAATGTCAGCATTCAAACATTTGTGTTTTAATTTTTTTAATTATAATGTTTAAAATACTTTTATTTTAATTAACATTGCTCGGGAGAAAATGTTCCCATAAAAATCAATGGTATTCATAAAAATGATTACCAATAGAGGTGAATATGTGTAGCTCAGGGTTGAACAGTGGAGTCCCCGGGGGCCTTCCGGACCTAGTCTTTTTCTTCTTGAGGTTTTATTCCCACGTCCGGAT